AAGTACAAAAGGTTTTGAATTTGAACTGCTTCAAATGTGAAACATCCCACTTGAGTTCAAACTGGCCATTTCAATCACACGTGAAGTGTTCTGAACTCAGAATATTTTCAAAATGATCAGAATGACCTGTTCCAAATGTATAATAAATAATTTTGCTCCCCAAGCTATTATCTCAGTCTTGATTTAGAGCATTTCAAATTGGAGACAGTTCAAATTCAAAATGTAGTGGCATTCACACTACATGCTAGCCATCTGTCAAGGATGAAACTTTGGCAGCTACGTGTTTCATCTTGCTTTTAGATTAAGAGAGGGGGGAGATGTTACTTTCAAGTGGGTTAAATGGAAAAATGAAACCTCTTTGATTCAGCTGAAGACCGTGAGAGCCTAAAGCCTTGTCAAGGACACCAGAACAGGTGTGGGTTTGAAGTAGACCAGGGGTGTCAAACTCAATTTCATTGAGAGCCGCATCAGCATTGGGGTTGCCCTCGGGGGAGGGGTGGGGGTGTGTGGCCAGGGTGGGTGCGGCCTACTGGGTGGGTGTGGATGGAGTGAGTGTGCCCTACTGGGTGGGCGTGGCCAGCTCTACATCGTTCGCATCAAGGGTGCGTATGGGGGCCTGGGCAGGAGTGGGACAGATCTGAGGGTCTCTGGCAGAAGGGGGTGGGACCGGGGCAAGCGCCAAGGCATGGTCTTTTAAAACCACATATAATGGTTCTGAATAAGAGACATATTTAACTGACTCTGCATCATCTCTATCCTATATTTTCCTTTCCTAAAGCCTACTTGTGATAAGAGGGATTGAACCTATGCTGTTTTTCTGATTAACACAGTCTATAAGTTCCCCATGACTACAGGATTTTTTTTCAATAGAACACAAGAAACAAAGTGGATCAAAATGCCCCCATTTTATTCCAGGCTTAGAACAAAACTCCAGATCTTTTTCTGGATTTTGAAGGAAAATATTTGAATTGGTTATTCCAGATTTAGAAGGTTTCAGATTGGAGGGTTACTTGTGCCTAGCTNCACATTTGCAGAGAAATGCTTCCCTCCGGAAGAAAATGTGTGGGGACTGTTTTCCTCTCCACTAAATGGGATCCAATATTTAACAAATAATTATTCAGAAATGATAAAAATTAATAAAGGCTATCTCTAGATCAGAGGTATCAAACTCAATTTCATTGAGGGCCGCATCAGCATTGCGGTTGCCCTTGGGGGGCCGGGTAGGTGTGGCCAGAGTGGGTGTGGCCTACTGGGTGGGTGTGGATGGAGTGGGTGTGGTCAACTGGGTGGGCATGGCCAGCTCTACATCGTTCGATTCAAGGATGCCTGTGGGAGTCTGGGCAGGAGTGGGACAGATCTGAGGGTCTCTGGCAGAAGGGGGTGGGACCAGGGCAAGTGCCAAGGCATGGTGCATTTCTTCATTCTTCACAAAGGGTGACACCTCTCCAGCATGCACCCAGGGAGCGGGGTCGACACAGCAGGGGCTGGTTCCTTGCTGTTTCTAGACGGCCTTGTGGAGCTAAGACTGAATGCATTTCAACATAGACAGCCACCACAAAATTGTACATTGGCTTCCGGCCAGCCTGGGCCAGGACCAAGGCAGCGGGGGCCGTTCCCTCACTGTTTCCAGGATGGCTTCGCGGGCCACATGAAACCACTTCGCGGGCCGCATCCGGCCCCCGGGCCTTGTGTTTGACATGACTGAAGTAGACGGTTCCCAGAACAAAGTGAACTTATTTATATGAATTACATAAGACGTTGGAGGTTTTGCTGGGAAAATTATTGTTAAGTCTATGAACTGGTGTCAGAGTTAGTTTTGCTTTGACAAAACCATGCAGTGTATTCAACAAACAGTAAGATTTTCAGAAACGGAATGAACCTGGAGTTTTATTTGGATTTTCGAGCTGGATGTTAACACCATCATATCATTTGCTGGTTTATATCTTAACGATGTGGAAAATTCCATGATTTAGAATTGGAATCTAGAGTTCTCTGAAATGTTCTATTCTTCTTTTGCTGAACTAGCGTATGCTATGTGGGGGATGGGGGTGGACATTTGGCAATTTTTGGAAATCTCAAAACCCATTAAAGGCCTGAAAAGATTTGGCATAGTCCAGAGGAAAAATGAAACATTTCAGAGGTTTTTTTGGTAATGTTCAGTTGCTGAATTGGTTGAATTTTGCTCATCCATTTTTGTGGGAATCCAGCTAGTTGTAATTTTTTAAGTAAAAAATGAGTAGTTACTGTTTCCCTCAGCTTGGATAACAAATTGTATAACTAAATCTTCAGATTAGAAGGTAGCAAAAAATAAAAGTGGTTCTTTCTGGATTTTAACTACTGACTGTGTCAAAGATAGCTTCTTTGAATTGGCAGTGTTGGCCTTTTTATGCAAGACTTGTCTCGATGTTGGTGAAGGCCATGAATCATCGGTGTTCCTTTGATCTCCACCTGAAATGTTCCATTCCAGATTCATTTTTGCTCTGGTTAAATTTATTCCAGTCCTGGACTTGCATATTCCACTTAATTTGGGTTCTAGCAGTTTTCACACTGCTTGAAATGAACAGTTCATGTTTTTCCAGGTGGCTGTTTCACTTCTAGAGTGCTTTGTACCTGTTCCCATTGTGCTATGTTGTTTTGTCCTTTCTACAGAGAGCAAATTGTCCTTAACCATTTTTCTTTTAACACTATAATTTGTCAAGAAAGCACAATACTTCCATGGGGCTGTTAAACTTTTCAAAGAGCTCCAAAAACTCCTTCTGCATTGCCTTATTTATCACTTGGAAAATAAATAAATATTGCAAAGGATGGTGAGGCTGTTTAGTTGTTTGCTCACTATGCCCAAAGCAGCAACCAGGACCTTGTGCCTTCGCACAAAGCGATGCATCCCCTGATATATCAGATTCCTATATATCTTCCACCCTCCAGGCTTAGCAGAGAACTTAAAAGTGCAAAGGGATGCTCTTAAAGAAAAGGCAAAATTTATGAGCATTGCCAAAATAGCAGGCTTCAGAAAGCCTGATTCAGCAATCACAGGGAAGGTAGAAGGTAGATCGGGAACTGCAGATAGTCCTTGACTTACCACAGTTCGTTTAGTAACCAAAGTTACAAGGGCAGTGAAAAAAGTGACTTATGACTGTTTTTCACACTTAACGACCATTTCAACATCCCTATGGTCATGTGATCAAGATTCAGGCGCTTGGCAACTAGCTCATATTTACGACGGTTGCAGTGTCCCAGGGTCATGTGATCACTTTTTGCAACCTTCTGACAAGCAAGATCAATGGGGAAGCCAGATTCACTTAACAACTGGGTTACTAACTTAGTGGTTCACTTAACAACTGTGGCAAGAAAGGTCATAAAATGAGGCAAAACTCACAACTGACTTGCTTAGCAACAGTAATTTTGGGCTTAGTTGTGGACTGAGGACTACCTGTAGTGATAGATTTGAGGATGATTTGTAGAAACATTTACAAATTGAAAACAATAATTGCTATGACAGGCTGCTTATCTCTTCGCTCAGCATTCCTCAGCTAAGAGATGGGAAATTAATTGATTATCTGATTCTAGTGCTGCACTGCTGGACTTTTATAAAGTTTTCCGTTAGAATGTGTCTACTCCAATGAACATCTGTATACACAGTATAGGTTTTAGTAGTAATACTTTTATTTGGTATGCAATAAAATATTTAACACAAGCCAAATAATAACAGCACAATATTAACCAGTACCTGAAAAATAACAGTAACAATCAGTTTTAAAATATCGTCTAATCCCAGCACAGCCCTAATTTAAACTGGCACCCAGCCCTGCTGTTGAAAAATTGCTCCAGCTTAAATAATAAATGTTTTACAGGTGTTTTTTTATATCTCAGGAAATTGGACCTCGAGTGAAACTCAAGGGGCAATCAGTTGCAAAGAGTAGGACTGGAAGGAGAAAAAGAAGTAAAATGTGAAGAGATGGCTGCTCATTTCCCCAAATATTTTCCTTAACATCCAGTGACATTCATTGCTGCAAGTAAAAATAATGCTAAAAACTAATGCCGGCCTTCTTCCTATTCCTTTTTTAAATTATTTTTAAGGAGTTTGGCAAGCACCAAGGGAGATGGCAAAACATAGTGCTGTTCTTTGCTCATTATTAGTTTTTTATCCCACCTTTATTATTTTTATAAATAAGGCAACAAACTTACTTAATACTCCATTCTCCTCCTTTCCCCCCCCCTAATATCAATAGCCTAAAGCAGAACTAGAACTCGCAGTCTCCTGGTTTCTAGGTCAGCACCTTAACCACTACAGCAGACTGGCTCTTCCTTGTCATCAGTCAACTTGGGTTAGCATCCACACTCAGAAAAAGAGCTTAATATATGTTGATTTCTCTCGCATGGAAAATTATGAGGCAAATGGAAAAGGATAGTGCAGTTGATCATGGTTTCCACCATGGGGTAGGCTCCTGCTTCTTTCCTTTGCAGTTGGGAATCAGAGTTTGGCCACTTACCTTGAGGCAACTGTGACTATCGGCATGAAGATGTCTTTGTGTTGACTGGCAACATAGGCAACATTGCAAGTTGACTCGCAGCTCAGCTTGGGCTGCCTAAAAATCTGGTCCTATAAAAAGGCCTGTCATAAGAAAAGAAAGGAGCCCCTATAGAAAGGAGACAGGATCCTATTGTACTAATAACAGGATTGCTATAATAATAGTTTATTGAACAAGCCAGAGGGGCCTCATTCAGACAAAACCCAAAATTTAAACTAGAATGGTAAACCATGCACAGCGAAAGCCAAACTACTGTGGAATTATGCAACATGTATGTGTAAGTGAAGACTGAGAAAATGTAAGCAAGCAAGCAAGCAAACAAGCTGTTTTTAAATGTTGGAGCAAAAATTTGTGTTTTTGCTATTGCTGCAATTGAATCTCTTCATCTAGAATGAACTATTGGTAAAACTGGTCAGCAAGTACATGAATGGCGTGTAAAAACTGGCTGTCCCTCCTTTCTTTTTGCTCCAGTGGGAACCATATATTCCAGGGTCTTGCTGCTGGTATAGCTGTGAATGAGAATGGAAGAGGCCAGATCACAGGTAGGAAAAGACAACATTTTATATTTGATTCTTATTGAATCTAATAAGATGTCACCCTCAAAGCATAGTATTCTAATTTGAGTTGCTGCATTGCTTCATTCCTTTTGAACCCACATCCTCCAGAATAAATTGGTGCAAAGTTTTCAAAGTATTTCACAAAAGATCTCTCTCTAAACCATGGGTGTCCAACCTTGGCAACTTTAAGACACATGGATTTCTTGCTGGCTGGGGAATTCTGGGAGTTGAAGTCCACATGTCTTAAAGTCACCAAAATTTGGCACCACTGCTCTAAACCTTACACCAATCCTGCAGGTAAGCAAAGGTTCTTTTCCCCTGTAGAAAACTGAAATTATGCTTTCTAAAACCATCTTCTGAGTTCCAGGTTGAAAGCTGCTTGACCTAATTTCGTAGCTTACTGGCGCTTCGCTTCACTGCCTTTATTTAGAACAAGGACATGTTGTGGTGCTTTCTCTTGTCTAGTTGCTGTGAACATTTAAGGCAGATAGGGCAATTTTTCCAGATGCTCTTTGTATTCTGCCTAGGAAGCCACAGTAGGTATGATTGAAGACATCATGTCAGATCTGCGCTGCTGGCTGTACCTACTCCTGGGAGTGCTAAAAATGAGCGCTGTGTGGAGCCTACAAATTGTGTGTTGCCTACCTTTACAATTTTGAAAAGGCTACAGGCTGCGTTCCCATCCCAAGTTCTCACATGGTATACCAAGACTAATAGCTTTTCAGAACTAGGTTAGAAAAGGAAGCCCAATTCCTTTCCTTTTCTTCCCATTTCCTTTTTCCTTCCTGAAAAACTGAAAATGCCAGAGTACAGAGTACAGAGTACAGAGTACAAAAGTACAGAGTACAGTACAAAAGTACAGAGTACAGAGTACAAAAACTGAAAATGCCAGAGTACAGAGTACAGAGTACAGAGAACTTATAGTCATGGGGGATCTCAACCTGCCATCGGCGGGCGAGACGTCAGCGGTGGCTCGGGAGTTCCTGGCCTCCATGACGACCATGGACTTGACCCAATTAGTTCATGCACCCACTCACATAGGAGGTCACACACTGGATCTGATTTTTGTCTCTGGCCAGTGGCAGCATGATCTGGAAATGGGGGAGATAGTCATA